ACTGTCCGCAGAGGCTCTGGAATTCTTTCCAAATTACATCACAGAGCCTTCTGCAAATGAGTCTCTTATTGAAAAAGTTTTTGTCACAGAGCTCTGTGGAAAAACTACGTCTAAGCATGAACATGCCTCAGATCTTGAACTTAGTCCTACACAAGTTGTAAAGACTAATATTGATCTTGAGAAAGGAAAGAAGGAAATTCGAAAACAAAGTAATTCTCAATGCTCTGTCTCTACAACACAGAAGCCTATCTATACTTGGCAGCAATTGAAAAAATGGCCTCTAACTAATAATGCTTATGTCTCAGTGATTGCAGTAAAACCAAAGGGGGAACCAATACAGAAGAATTTTAAAAAGGATTTCAAAACAGAGCCTATAATAGGAAAGGAATCTTGTAATGAGAAGCCCGTACCTAAGAAGGGCTCTAAAAACAAAATCTCTGTACCCTTTTTTGATAATCTTAATGAAAAATTTAAGAAAGTTTCTTGTGATGTCTCCTTCTGTGAATGTTTCAATATCATGCATACTCTATCCACTCACATTCACCACTCTTCTTGTTTTGTCTCTCACCCCAAGAGTCATAGTTCTGGGGTGAATAAGAGACAAGTTGGCAATTCTTCCAAGAAAAGTAAAGCCAAATCAAAGGATGTTACGACATACCTCAAACAATCTAATGCTAAAGGACCCAATTGGAAGTGGGTACCTAAAATAAATGTTGTATGATTGCAGAAGCAGBAGCATGTGACTACCTGGGTTGTTGACTCAGGATGCTCGAGGCACATGACTGGTACATTAGAGCTTTTATCTTCYTATTTAAAGCAAGAAGGAGGCTCTATAGCCTGTGGTGGAAACCAGAAGGGGAAGATTAAAGGCTACGGGATGATTGTGAAGGGTGAGATAAAGATGAACCAAGTATCATACGTGGATGGACTCAAACACAACCTCATAAGTGTTAGTCAACTTTGCGACAATGGTCTGGATTTGCTTTTCAAGGTCAAACACTGCATAATGTACAAGGCAGATACATTGATAGAGGTGATGAGAGCCAACAGAAGAGGAGACTTGTACCTTCTGTGCTTTGATTTGTTAGAAGCCAAAGAAGAAGTCAGTCTGGTGTCCTCTGTGAAGAACGAAGAAGCTTGGCTCTGGCATACCAGGTTCTGTCATCTAAACTTTCACACTCTTAATAAAGTGGTTAAGCTGAGTTTAGTCAAGGGACTACCCAACATAAAGTTTGAAAAGGACCATCTTTGCTCAGCTTGTGAAATGGGTAAACTCAAAAGGTCTTCCCATAAATCCAAGTCTGATCCTTCCTATGATAAGCCTCTGCAAATGCTTCATGTGGACCTCTGTGGCCCTATCTTTGTGCAGAGTCTTGGAGGAAAGAAGTACATATTAGTACTAATTGATGAATTTTCAAGATTTACTTGGTACTAAGAAATCTCAAGTTCCCTGTGTACTAATCAATCCCTTAAAGAGATTGTAAGTTCTTCATGCTCTTCAGATTAGGGTACTAATGAGCGATAATGGCACAGAGTTCAAGAATTATGTGATCGAAGAGTACCTAGCCTCTGTCGGCATAACTCATAACTTCTCAGCACCAAGGACTCCGCAACAGAATGGAGTAGTAGAGAGGAAGAACAGGACGCTTGTTGAAGCTGCTAGAACGATGTTGAATGCCTCTGGGCTACCACTATCTTTTTGGGCAGAAGCTGTCTCTGCCGCCTGCTACACACAAAACAGGTCCTTGGTGGTAAAGCGTTATGAGACGGCCCCCTATCAACTT